TTTTCTTTGTGGTGCTCATTTTCTCATCTTTAGGCAAATGGTTTTAGCGTGGTAGCCGAAAAGCTGAATTTTTTCAGATTCATATCTCATTTTCGTTCCGTCCATAGGGGAGCTTTTTTTGCAAGACAGAGAACTACATCCGTGCGCAAGCTACTACCAGAGTAAGGACACTGATTCTACTCCAGTCCCTTTAACTTTATGGATGTGTAGATCGTGGGGATTTCTTTGCCCCGTTCACACTCCCGATGGTGAACCTTGTGGGTTGCTCACTCATTTAAGCTCATTGTGCAGTAAGCTTTTTATTTTGCTCAATGTCACGGGAACTAACTCGGTTTTCTGTTCTTCAGAAATTTCCACTGACCTCGATCAAAATAATCATCCCAAGGACCCCAAGGTTATTCATCGAACTATTGCTACGGTGTTGGCTCAACTCGGCATGGTTTCGATTTCACCTTTATTGGCGTTGTCAGGCCCTCCCAAGTATCTGGCGGTTCTCCTTGACGGGTGTGTACTCGGTTATATGCCGGTTGGAAACATACCTCAAACCGTTTCTCACTTACGAAGTTTGAAAGTGACCAAGGGTTCTCAGGTTGCCACCGTTTTTTACTGCTGTTCTGCTTGAACTAACGTGTTAGTGCAGGTCCCTATCGATCTAGAGATTGGATATGTTCCTTGCACGTATGCTGGGGCTTACCCTGGCTTGTTTCTGTACACGACGCCATCACGGTTTCTTCGCCCAGTGAAGCAACTTGATACAGGAGCTATTGAACTTATCTCTGCCTTCGAACAGGTTTTATAATTTTTTATAAGCTCACTTTTAAGCTTCTATGTGCAGGCATACATGGAAATTGCATGCCCCGACGGAGGAAATTGCGGTCGAACACCTTCAGCTCCACCAGCAACTCACATTGAACTGCATCCGACGGCTATGTTGAGTGTGGTTGCAAGCTTAACACCTTGGTCGGATCACAATCAAAGTCCTCGAAATATGTACCAGTGCCAGGTTTATACGAGCGCTACCGTAATGTTTAGTTTTTCTAACAGTTTCTACAGATGGGAAAACAAACGCTAGGCTTTGCTTCACAGGCTTTGAAGTTTAGAACGGATCACAAAATGTACAATCTTCAGGTAAGACTAGATTTAAGTGTTCCTTGTGTTAACCATATTCTTTGCTTTTCTTGTAGAACCCTCAGTCTCCTGTTGCGCGCAACGTTAATTACAAAAAGTACAACATGGACGAATTTCCACTTGGCACCAACGCTGTTGTTGCAGTGTTAGCGTACACAGGGTAAAGCTAACTGAGATCCATTTTAAGGTTTGAATTTGAGTGGTTTTCATGTAGTTTTGACATGGAAGATGCTATGATTATGAACAAATCATCGATGGAGAGAGGTTTAGCACATGGACAAATCTATAAGGTGCTGTTTGACAGTGATTTTTCCTTTGTCCCTTGTAAATTGATATGTTTTTTTCTTTTTAGACCGAGCATGTCGATTTAAGTTTGCTGCAAAAAAAATCTGATGGAATTGTGAACCTCTTTTCAAGACCAACTGGGAAGAGAAATATACATAATTTTCTTGACGTGGACGGTCTTCCACACATTGGCCAGGTCTGATTAAATCCGCTCGAAATGCTATTAATCGTTTTCTCTGCAGACTATGCATAATGGAGATCCTTATTGCAGTGTTTTGAATACAATGACTGGTGATGCGAAGCTACATAAGCTTAAAGCTGCAGAAAATGTCGTCATAGATTCCGTCATCGCCATCGGGCATGGCAGAGACCCACTTCAAAAGGTCACAATCTCCTTATCTCGATGCATGCCAATAATTCGCTTTCTCTGCAGATCGCTGTGAAGTTTCGCCATGATCGAAACCCGGTTATTGGTGACAAGTTCAGCAGTCGCCATGGACAGAAAGGAATTCTGTCACAGTTGTGGCCAGATATTGACATGCCATTTTCGGCTGTCACCGGGATGCGTCCTGATATTATTATCAATCCCCACGCATTCCCGTCTCGTATGACGATCGGTATGCTTATGGAGTCTATGGCTGCCAAGGTACTAGCGAACTAGCGATGTGCTCCTTACGCTTCATGTCTATTTTAGGCCGGCGTTCTTCGAGGCGAGTACGTGGATTCGACTCCCTTTAGAAGCAGCTCAGCAGCTTTAGAGGCAAAAGATGGTAAAACAGGAAGCGGCTACAAGGGTAAAGATAAGCATTATCCCGCGATTAGTGAGTTTGGGGAGCAGCTGGCACAGCACGGTTTCAATTACCATGGCACTGAGGTTATGTACAGCGGTTTGCTAGGAACGGAACTCACCTGTGAGATCTTCATCGGTGTTGTGTATTATCAGCGACTGCGACATATGGTTTCGGACAAGTTTCAGGTAACTCCACTTGGAGAACTGAAAATCGGATTAATGTGGTCTTTATCCCAGGTCCGCTCACTGGGTGCTATCAATCCCGTCACTAGACAGCCAGTAGGTGGTCGCAAGCTCGGTGGAGGCATACGTTTTGGAGAGATGGAGCGTGACTCGCTACTTGCACACGGTGCAGCGTATTTACTACACGATCGATTGCACACATCCTCCGACTACCACGTTGGAGACGTGTGCACCACTTGCGGGAGTCTGCTGTCAACTCTGATGGTACCCTCAAAGCAGCCCGCCGTCGGTGCTCGGAACAAACCCAAGAAGGCTACCTGCAAAGTCTGCCAGTCGAATGCTGGAGTCGTCAAGGTTGCCATGCCATTCGTCTTCCGGTATCTTGCAGCAGAATTGGCAGCCATGAACGTGAAGCTTACCCTCAAAGTTGCTTCAGCGTAAGGAAGGGGTACGTCTAAATTCTTTTAAGCTGCCTTACAAACGAAGTGATCTGAGTTATTGATATCAGACCACTGTACTTGGAGCAAAGGATCTAGCATGGTTTTTGGTCCTTGAAGGAGCGGACCCAGCCCTTTGCAGAGCATCTCCAGCTCCACATACGCTCCCTGCCGTCATCCGGGCATCCTCAAGCCTCACTGCATCTCGAGAAGACAAGCCTTTATCCAGGCAAGCGCTCCTTCGCTGGCTTGGCTCTTTTTCTTTGCTTGTTTTCCGTCAATATATATGGCGTTGGAACAAAGAGCCTTCCTTTAGAAGACAAGGCGAAGAAATGCTAAGAACCGTTTTTCCTTTTTCTTCGAAAAAATATGCAGTGTCTCGAATGGAATTATCTGGAAGAGGTATGTATTTTTCTTTTCCGTTTTTATTTGACAGTGATTTGCTCTTCCAAGTTACAGTGTCGACAATCGATAGTTCACTGTTACGAAAAATCGAGGTTTGATACATGGGTACGTTTTAAAAAATGTCAAGGTGAAAGGTACTGATCAATGTTTGCTATCTGTAACTCTACAGAGGTTTTATTAGGGTTTTCCTGAGTTTGGGTCTTCAGTGGGACGAGGTATGACAGTGCTTGAATGCTGCAGCGGAAGGTCAAGAGCTTCCGAGGCCCAGCTGATATCTTAAAAGCCATCGTACAGTCACTCCACCGGGTGAAACCAAGCGTTCCCGTTCTTCTTTCAGCGCTGAAAGCCTCGACGAGCTCGAGCGACATCGAAAACGGAAGGAGAGTCCACGCAGATGCAGTTAAATACGGGAAGGACTCCGACATTTTCGTGGCCAGTAGCCTCGTCAACATGTACGCAAAGTGTGGGAATGTGGCGGAGGCTCGAGAGATCTTCGACGGCATGGAGTCCCGGAATGCGGTGTCCTGGACTTCATTGATCTTGGGCTATGCCGACAACGGAGAATACGAAACCGGGTTGGAGCTGTTTCGACGCATGCAACACGAGAGCTCTCAGCAATCGGATGCTCAGACTTTTGTGGCCGCTCTCAAGGCGTGCACGGGCTCCGCAGCGAAAGAAAAGCCTCTGGAAGTTGGCGGCAGGCTTGTCAAGCTGGGGACTCTCGAGCAAGGCATGGCGATTCACTCGCAGGCGTCGAGAAGTGGCTGCGAAGACGTGTTTGTTTCGAGCATCCTGGTGGACATGTACGCGAACTGCGGCAGCATGCTTGATGCTCGGCTCGTCTTCGACAGGATGCCTTCTCACGACGTGGTGGTGTGGAACGCATTGCTTCTGGGATACGCAGAGAATGGAGAGCCACAGGTGACGCTGGAGTTATTCACTCGGTTGAGAGGAGGAGATCGAGGCTGCGGTCCAAACGCTCGAACTTTCGTCGCTGCGTTTCAAGCCTGCGGCAGTATGGCGGATCAAAGTGGCGACAAGATGGTGGCGCTGGAGGAGGGGATGGATCTTCACTCCCAGGCAGCTCGGTTTCAGCACTGCGTGACGGATATATTCGTGAACAACACTCTCGTCGACCTGTACGCAAGGTGTGGGAACTTGGTGGACTCCCGCAGAGTTTTCGATCGCATGCGCTGCCACAATGTGGTGTCCTGGAACGCGCTGATGCTGGGACACGCCGACAATGGTGAAGAGGAGCTGGCCTTGGATCTCTTCGAGCGTTTGCGCGAACAAAGCTTAGCACCGGACTCCCGGAGCTTCGTTGCCGCGTTGAGAGCTTGCAGTGGTCTTGCCGAGAAAGAAAGCTCGCGGCAAGTGGACACGAACTCGATCATCAAGGCCGAGGCGCTCGAGAGGGGAACGCGGGTGCATGGAGAAGCCAGAGATGCCGGGCTTGACACGGACATCTACGTGACGAACGCTCTCCTGGACGTCTACGCCAAGTGTGGAAGCTTGGGCGACGCTCGCAGAGTCTTCGACGCCATGCAGCAGCGTGATGCTGTCTCGTGGACAGTTGTGATGCTCGCCTACGCGGAGAACGGCGATGGTCATCTGGCTCTGGAGCTGCACGAGCAAATGCAGCGGCAGGGCTGCGTCCGGGACGCCCGGAGCTTCGTCGCTGCGCTGAAGGCCTGCGCGAGCATCGCAGAGAAGGAACAGGGACAGGGAGTTGGCAACAGGTTGGTGAAAGTGAAGTCCCTGGAGCTGGGAATGGCGCTCCACTCGCAGGCCGCGGGAGTAAGCAGCTGCAACTCGGACGTGTTCCTCGCGAACACCTTGGTGGATCTCTACTCGAGGTGCGGGAGCGTTCTGGACGCTCGCAGGGCCTTCGACGGGATGGAGCGGCACAGCACAGCGTCCTGGAACGCTCTCGTGCTGGGCCTCGCGGAGAATGGAGAGGACGAGCTCGCGCTGGACCTCTTCCGCTGCATGGGAGGAGCCGTGGAGCCGGACTCGCGGAGCTTCATTGCAGCGCTCCGTGGGGTGGCTAATCTCGCCGAGAAGGAGCGAGGCAAACAGGCCGAGACGGGGCTTGTCAAGGTGGAGTCACTGCGCAGAGTCATGGAGGTCGAAGCTACGAGCAAGCTGGGCGATATTACAGCACTAGACGCGTTCCTTGCGAGCGCGCTGGTCGACTCGTACGCAAAGTGTGGGAGCCTCGAGGACGCAAGAAGGGTGGCGAGCAAAATGGAGCCCCGTCACAGCATCGCGTCTCTCAACGCGCTGGTGTCCGGCTACGCGGAGAATGGCAAGCCCCGGCTAGCAGTGGAGCTCTACCGATGGATCCGGGAGAGCTACCCGGAGCTCCTGGACGTGCGGACGATGCTCGCGGGGCTCAAGGCTTGCGGGAGCTTGGCCGCGCTAGAGACCGTCCGGGAGATCCACGCGGAAATCTCCAGAGCCGGCGTGCTTTCGTTATCGTCTTCTTCGTCCTCTCGATCACCCACCAGCAGCAGCAGCAGCAGCAGCAGCAGCGATGGAGGAGCTCTGGCTACGTCGCTGATCGACGCCTACGGCAGATGTGGAAGCGTGCTCGAGGCCCAACGGCTGTTCGACGCGATGAGCCCATCGCCGGACACCGCGACTTGGAACTCGCTGATAGCCGGCTACAGCCACCATGGCGACACGAAGCGAGCTCTGGCGCTGCTCGAGGCCATGGAGCGCGAGGGCGCGAGCGTGGACGGCATCACGCTCGTGTCGGTGCTGAGCGCTTGCAGCCATGCCGGGGCGGTGGAGGTGGCGCGGAGGCTGCTGGAGGGGATGGCGGCGAGGTTTGGGGTGGAGGCTGGGGTGGAACACTTCCACTGCGTGGTGGACGCGCTGGGCAGGGCCAACAGGGTGGAGGAGGCGGCGAGGCTGGCGAGGAGCATGCCATTCGAGGCGAGCCCCGTGACTTGGAGGACCGTGCTGGGCGCGTGCCACAAGTGGGAGAACGCGAGCGTGGGAGAGGCCGCGTTTGAATCCCTCCAGGGCTGTTTATCGTGATCATTCGCGCGAAATTTCTAGAAACAGATTATCTAAATAATTTTCTGATCCGACACTATGGATTGCGCCGGATCTGTGTAATGTCGACCTGGACTAATTATTTGGGATGGATATTTGGGATGATAAACATCACAGAAGATGCAATAGTTTCTGGCAGGTCCTCATGCTCAACTTTGCCCTCTGGAATTACCAGGCATCATCTCTAGAGGTCCGAAGGGCCTGCAGTCTCCTGAGTAATCCAACCAATTGAGCAACTGTAGATAGACTGAATCCCACTTGAAAATCAAGTAGAGAAGGGTTCCAAAGATAGATTTCTCTTAAACCATTCCCTTTATTTGCTTGCATTTCTTTGTAAGTTGTAAACTAAAGTCAACTACAACATATCAATTTTAATCGCCCTCCATTTAACAATTCATTAATTTTCTTTGTCAGTTGTAAACGGAAGCATCCCTTAGCCAAGTATTGCTAATCTCAACTAGTATTGAGAGCTGTCAGTAGTGAGATCTCAACACTAGTATTGCCCAGCAAATATTAGGTGAATACAGAATCTAGAATTAAATTTTTTTCTTGTTAATTAGTTTTTACTATTTAGCTTTATATAAAAGACACCTTGAAAGATGTTTGCTGTTTCAAAAATACAAAAGCTAAGAAAGTTGTATTTTAATTGGTCAGAGGACGAGGAAGTTGTTAGGAGTATCTACTCTACTATAAAGGTGAACAAAAGAAGAAAAACAAAATAGAAGAAATGAACAAATTATAAAAACAAGTGGAATTTAGATAATGAAAAAGTTAGATTTAAAATAAAAGCACAAATTTATCAGGGATAATCAATTGAGTGCATGAAATATAGAAATTGATTAACAAAAAACCCTAATTTATGTAGGAGTGAGTAATTTGAATTGAAATCAATCAGGCAACTGTCAAAATCCCACTGTGCTAATAATAACATATGGCATTATAACTTGATCTCACACTTTGAATATAATTATTAAACATTTTTTATTTTTTTAATATTTGCTAGCTATGAAAATAAAAACATGAATGCTATAATTCTATCACATATTGACTTGTATTAACATTTAATATAACAAGCTTTCTAAAGAAAAATAAATAAAAATTACAATATAATAATCAAGAAGGAGCAAATTAGGAACTCTTGAACTCCTAATTAAACATCTTCTTCCGGACTTAATAAATTGTTTTTTTGCATATATTATTTTTTATTTTGAGTTATGAAGATAATTTTATTTTTATTATAAAATTCTTAATACAATATAGTAGATATTTATGAAGGAATTTTAGAAATACATCTATTCTGCAAATCGTTATAGATATATCTAATCTCCTTAGTCAATTTCAATGGTTTTAAGCACTCAATATGGAGAGCATATTCTTTGGTCTAAAACTCTATTATAAAAATAAGGTTTTAGTATGATTTAAAAGAGGTTCAAACCATAATACTAACACTCTTTATAGCTTTTCTCAAGAAACTAAATTAGATTAATTTTGAAATTTCACAAATTACTCATCACCATAGATGTGTTTCTATGAATGAACAACCTACTTTAATTAACCTATTATTATCATCATAAATTATTTATATAAATAAAAATATATTTAAAAACTATTAAATATAGTAGAGTAATTTTTTCATTTTTATTATAAAAATATAAATAATATTTTTAAGAATGTTGTCAATAATATTAGAATAAACAAAACTTAGAATAATTTTGTTTTATTTAAAGTTTTCTCTATTTTTGTTTTATTCTTAAAAGTCAAGATTTGGAGTCTAATATAAACGACTTCAGCTGTTATTTTTATTTTTATGTGTAATACATTTATTTAACTGTAGTTTCTAGCTCTATCTAAAATGAATGTTATAAATATTAAAATCTTAAAATTATTAATTTTTTTATATTTCAATTATAATTTTTCATATGCTGGAAGATCCACATCATACGAACCTGGAAGAAATAATTTTATAACACTAGCTGATTTAATACATTTAGTTGATACTATTGTTAATATGACTAATGCAATGTTTCATTCAACAGATAGATATGAGACTGGACTGGCATATTCTGGAATAGCTCCACTACTTACTTCAAATGAATATAGAGCTGAAATTACATTTGAAGTTCTTAATAAAGGTCAAGGAACACGTTGCTCTATAAATCCATTAAGAGGTAATACTGTAATTGGTGGAAATTTAAGAGTGGGATTTAGAAGTATTCTTTATGAAGTTTTAAGCTTTTTACGTAGAGATTGTCCAGGTGATTTTAGGGGTGCCTCAAATAATTATATATTAGAGTATAATATCAACCCAAATCCATTTTATAATCGTTCAACTATCAGTACTAGTAGAAAACAAAAGAAAATTATAGATGATAATCCATTTGACGATAATGAATGTTCTAAATCTGTAGTTTTTACAACATTATTTTCATGGCCATCACATAATATTCTCTATTTTGGGAATTCTTTATTCTCTCCTAATAGCATTATAAAACTAACAATGCAAGAAGATTGTAATCTTGTTTTATATAAAGGGGATAATACTCCATTATGGGCTTCAAATACTTGGAGCACATGGAGAAGAAACTGTAATCTTTTATTACAAAGGGATGGGGATTTGGCTATTATGTTTAATACCCTTATACTTTGGAGATCAAGGACAAATTGTATAGAGAATAGTTGTATAAAACCATCAGTACTTTCAGTACAAAATGATTGTAACATGGTTTTATATAGAATTCCTACTATAGTTGTTACTTCATTATTTCCAATATGGGCTTCCAACTCACATTGCTAATCTATAAAATAGCATTTTCTTCTTCAATATGCATACTGGCAAGGCACTTTGATTGCTCTCCAGTAGTATCTCCAAGAGGTACTTGATGAGGACAAAGAGGAGCATCTCCCTTGAAAATAGGGCTCCATGGATGGATAGATTCACTTTTATTAGATAAACAAAGTTGTGATTTCATTAAATAATTGATTGCTTTAAAAATGATTATATTAGTATTTCTTCATTAGAGATTGATGTGACCAGATATGCAAATATATGGATGCCATAGTGGTGACAGTTGGAAAAGGATTTCAAGCCCTTGAAGGCTTCAAAGCTGCCCTCCATTCCAAAGCACATAAGATGCCATAGGAATCAGATGAAGTAACAAGCTAGAAACTTTCCAAAATTTTAGTATAAAAACTAAATATGGAATGGAACTCAATAGATCATCTCTATTGTGGGAGCTAGTTCCATGCTATCTGTCCTCTTTGCCATAGTCTCTCAATCTCCACCAAGAATGTGTCACAAGAGACTTTAGATGCTATAACTTTAGCCTACTGGGATATCATCTTTAGATCAAGCTTTTTGATACATTTATTATGGTTGTGATTTTATAGAAGTTGTGCTCATCCTCTTCTCTCTTGTTGATGTGAAGTGTGATTATCATGTTAATTAAAATATAAGAACCTAACTCTTGGACACATGTGCGAAATGAGACCTGAATTTCAAGGCCTTAAGCAAGTGAACAAAAGAATGGAGCCAAACTCCTAAACATATGACCAAGGAGCAAATGAACAAGGCTAAACTCCCAAATGTATAACTAAGGAACAAAAGAATAAAAGTATGGAGCAACACTAGAATAGTCTTAGAGTTTTTAGAATCACAACACCAAGACTAACATGTAAAATGGTGCTTGAGCTTAGACCTAAACTGGATGCAAAACAAGAATAAACATACTTAATAAGGAGCTAGACATTGCCTTACATTAGTTGGCCATACCTATCTATTTATTTAGAACCCTTTATATGAAAGCACACTTTGGGGTTTCATCCTAGTCTCAAGAATTAGTTTTTGGGACAAATTTAAAAACTTATTAAATATGGAATATTATTAGATTATGAATCATTCTTTACATTTCATTTTATATATAGCTAATAAACTGAAATAAGACTTCACATATGGCAAAGTGCCTTAGTTACAAGGTGCACTATGGCCAAGGTGGTGTGGTAGTCTACAGCACAGCCACATGTTTTAGGAGGATTGGGCATCATTGACCCAAGTGAACCATGTGTCTCTGATTCTTTAGGGTTTGGAAGCCGCTGGAGTGGAGTTTCCTCCAGATTGTGCAGCGCATCTCTCTGTCCTCGTCTCTAAACAGTGCATTGAAGAAAAGGGGTTGGTTCAGCTAGTCTTCTACCTAACTCAGCACCAACTATCATAACAGGAACGCTCTCCACAGCCTATAAATCCTCTGTATGAGATTTTGTCCTTTAGCCACATGTGTCGGTCCTTCCACCAATGGGTTCACATCCTATACCCAAGTTGTATTATGCTTGGGGTAGATCATCAACAAACTCTTCCAAAATATGAGTCCCCAAGGTTGCCTACTTGGCTAAAGGCCTATGAGGATGACTTTATACCTTATCGCCTTTGTAGTTATAGATTTTCAGCCTGTAGAAGAGGCAAAACCTCTAGCTAGACATTCTACGGCTTCTTTATGTAGTGAGACCAAGGTTGAGGCTGAGACCAAGCCCAAGCCCAAGCCCGAGTCCAAGTCCAAGTCCGAGTTCGAGTTCGAGTCTGAGAGGGTGAAAGCCCAAAGCATTTGTCTCCTAGACCTTGGGGGGTTTAGTGAGCTCCAAAAGTATAGTAAGGGGGAGGACTGCAGTGGAGCCAGTTTGGCCAGGAAAGGCCAGTTTGGCCTAGGAAGGCTGTACTTAATGTTGGGTGATGAGCTGCCCACTAGAAAGTCCAAGACTAGAGTGAACACGGACTGACAAATGGGGTAGCTTGGTAAAGTGTTCAAGAGCCGGCTCTAGTTCCCCCAGGAGATTGATTGGCCAATGCTCTCAATCCAAGTGTGGGTGGCACTACCTACTTGGATACCTGGCGTGGCTCAACGGAACCTCGCTCTAAGCCTATGGCTAAAGCACCCAAAGGCAGAAGGCAGGGAGAGTACCCATGAGGCCCGTGTAGGGCCACGGTGTTCCAAAATGTTGTCACAAAGGCCCAGACTGTGGAAAGGAAGAGGAGTAGTCCTCGGATGTGGTGACCAAGGACATAGTCACACAGTGAGGAAGTCCTAGAGGATAGTGGGACTTAGTGGTCGGGCCCATGGG